GAGAACAATGAAAGTTGAATTTAAAGACTTGACAAACCTCTCTAAATCATGAAATTCTTCAAACACAGCCTTTATACCTGCCTTAATCACATCCCAGAATTCAAACAGAAAGCCCATATTGAATCCATCCGGACCCGATGCTGTATCTTTATTGCAGGCTTGAAGACCTTCCAGAATCTCATCTTTGGAGAAGGTACTCTCCAGGTCAGCCTTAGACAGCTCATCCAGACTAGGAAATACCAGTCCATCCAGGTTCAGTCTCTATTCTCCTTCCTCATATAGGTGAGCAAAGTACTCCTTGACTTCTCTTTTCAGCTCCTTATTGCTTCTACGATCCTATCTCCAATCTTTAGCTAGCCACATAATTATTACGCCTATGGTTACTAGCTAAACAATGAAAATATCTGGTGTTTTGACCCCCCTCCAGCACCCATTTAGCCCTAGATTTTTGTCTCCAGCTAATCTTCTCCATCTGCATCGCGGAAGCAATCTCATCTCTCAAGCAATCTCTGCGCACAGCATCACCCTCTGCCAGACCCCCATCTCCTTCATTTCTGTCAATAACGTGCCCTCAGATCCCTTGCTTATTTTTTCTTTGTGAAGTAAATCAGTAAAACCTGGTTATGTACTTCTTAATAACATATCTTTTTTATAAAAAATTAAAACCAGGATTGTCCACAAGATAGCTGTTTATTCGCTCTGTTGAACATATAGCACCTGTATGATTTATATCAAATGGTAATATCAATAGGGACTTTTTTATTCCCCTTTTGAGGGGTTGCTTTCGAAACTAGTGATATTATGATGGTTGGTTTGATTAGAAAAAGGTGGATCTTCGCTAAAATTTTTTATACTTTAAGCCACAAGCTAGAGTGGTCTTCTTAACCGGTATGACATGTTTAAAGAAGCACAGCGTAGAAGTTCCATGTCCATAAATATTTTGTTTTACCTGCCGTATAACAATATATTTTATTGGGGAAAAATGTAAGCATAAAAGAAAATGGAACATATAACAATATATTTATATTGTAAGTGGAATTTGTCTAAGATTTGTATCAACATGGAACTTCTTTGCGAATTTTTAACCATGCCAATGGTCTTCATTTTAATGCATTTGTCCAGGTGGATGCTGCTTTGGAGCTGCTTGGTTACATTATTTCGATTGTGAGTGCAATTTACTCTAAAAAACTGTCTTATGCTCGTTGTACTGATCTTACTGTTGTCTTTTTGTAAGGATTTCTACAGGATATTATCTTTAAAATTAAATTAAGGTTTATTTTTTAACTACAGTTTTTTTTGGAAACTTGTAGGATCAAATAAATTCTTATCTTGTGCCTCAAGATGTGTGGGACCTTCGGTTATTTAAAAGGATGCCATCAATGTAAGTAGCTTTATTTTAAATTAAACTTTGCTATGACAAGGTGGTAACTTAATGACTCGGTGTTCATGGTATAAGATGTAGGACAAATAGGATTGACATATACATTTGGGATTTGGGGATAAAAATCTAGAAATTACACCTAGAACTTCTTTGATTGTTAAATAATTAAATGCTGTCAAGAAGTGAAATTGTAGAGATATTTATAATGCTTTGTTGGTTACTTTACTAATAGATTAATTAAGAAATATTAATATATAAAATTAAGATATTACTCCTAATAGATATGAAACTGTTGGAATCGTA